ATATTGATTAGAACAAAAGTTATTTCATTTGTCAGAATGTCAGATCTCTGTGGGACACCCTGTATAATGTAAAAAAGAGTTACTGTCGTTGTAATTATACATTTTTATATAAATGATATAATAAACTTTGTTACCTATTAAACTATGCTTATTTAAATTTTACCTACCAATTAGGGTGCGTCACGATAATAYTACAATTTTAATAGAATTATATGCTAACAACTTTCGCGTTATTAAGACTTAAAAAAAAGAAAAAACTCARAAAACCAATCATTTTTAAACATCATGCATATATTATATATACGGTTTTTGGTGTAGTCCACCTTTAAGTTATTATTTCGGTACTTTTGTCACTGGTCAATACCATACATAATATAGGTACAATAAACAGACTTTTCGAAGTAAAAGTATTACATATATCGCCGTGGGACGTACGTACAATATACGGATATATAGTACATTTGTTAGCGTTTTTTTTTAAATTTATAAATGTAAAATGTGTAAAAATAATATTTATGGACGTAAAGTTTTGTATGGCAAACAAAAAAGGAACTTTCATCTAGTTATGTTTTGTTAGAAAACGGAGATAACATACCTACTGTAAATCCAGGCATATTTGAACAATATATTTCTATTGTATTCCAGTTGTTAGTGTTAGAATAAATAGTCCTGTGGCCGCTGTGGCTAATACTTTGTTCTTTAACCACGTGACATCTCAATATTACTAAATAAACTAATATAAAGAGTATCGCAATACCATCTGCTTTAGAAAGTATTGTTTTTTATGTTTATTTAAAATATATATTATATAAATATTTTTCTCATAACCATTTGGATCGTCTTAGGGTTTATTGTAAGAATTGATAAGTATATATATATACCGACTACACATCATGATAAAAATACAATTACTCGAATGTTTCATAAAATTAAAATATTCCATCACTACAAATATTTATACAGGAGTTCAACCGTTCAATCTAATATATCTATAATTACCATATAGGTTGTTAAATCAATACTTCTTAAACACGATAGTAATAGTCATAATTTAAAAAATTGAAATCAACTTTTGAACTGTAATAATRTACATAATATGATTCACGAATCATATTAATCAGTGGGAAAAATAATTTGACTGTTATGACACGAAATATCGATTGACAATAACTCATTACAGTTTTAGGAATCATTTTATACCCTTTATTTGTTTTGCCAATTTAACTAATAATTAACAGGTAGGTACGTGACTTATTTATCATATATAATAATATCTTGCTTAATCAAAAAAGGGAATTATAAATATTGCATTGGATCTCTCCAAATGAGTGGTTAAAATAATGGTAAAACGTATCGATGCATAACTATTGTACACAAGTACGGGAAATTGTTATCAATACGCAAATACGGTTTAAACTGTCATTTTGCACCATTAAAATTGTAAATAGACTTTTCGGAAATGTTTAAATGGAACGACGTGACACTATTTCAATCTCAGATCACAGTGCGAAACGGTTATATTTTAAAAATCACAACTGTAGAAAAGCGTCACTRTGGTGACTGCAGGCGAACATTATACGAAGTTAGACAATATGAGATTTGTTTAGCATTTAAAATGAAAAACAAACTTCACACGTAAACGGTACGAAGATACCAAAAGAGTTTGAAGTGTAAGAAAATTAAAAAGACAAATAACAAGAACGAGAAAAAAAGTATACAAGAAGTGGAATGTTGATAGGTGAGTTACGAAATGTGGAACAAATTTGAAATCGTGGAAAGGCACGCAAAAACGAAAAATTAAATATCTCACCCACATCAGGGTTGACGTGCCTACGCGTTCTTGCTTTTAGTCACGACCTAAGACAAGAGATTGAGTGACACAAAAATTTACTGGTTCATAAACGAAATCCAATTATAATGGCCTMTCGCCAGTTGGAGTCATAACCAAGAACATAAAAATGTATTTTTAATTAATAAAAACTCTTCGTGCAGCTAATCCATAGAATACAAAAATTGTAATATGTCGGTTTATTTTTAGTTTATTCACTTTTCATAATAATTACAGGTAAAGACACATTGACGTTAAATATATTACGACGTCGTTTAGCTGGAGCATAAGGCAATGTTTTAGGTATTAATAAAACGATATAATAATTATTAATTGTGTATAAAAGATCCTAAAATGTCTAAATTCGTTTTTAAATTAAAATGTAATCAATATTATTAAGGTTGTTACTTAAYGTTGGTGCGATCGTAACCAAAGTGTAATTGTTAAACACAGACCGTTATTCGAAAAACAATGAGTAGTCAAGTATGTCTGTAGAACTTTCTAAAACACAATGTTACGACAACATTATTAATTTAGTAGAATTGCTTTTACTCCCCTCGTAGGAGGTATCGGAATCTTATTAGTGCATACTTCGATACTCGTATCACAACGAACGTTCAAAGTTTAACAATACAGTAAGGAGAAGAAACGTATAAACTTTAAGCGGTATGTACGACGGCTGTACGAGGAAATCCGATGGAAATATCATGTTGGTTTGGCAAATATTTGTGTGACATTATTTATGCACATAGTTCAAACGAAATAAAAGTCATTGGTTCCAACTAAAATATTGTTAAAACGTTGAAATAAAATTTWCCGGTAATGCAAACACATTTTCCAATGAAATATGTAAATTKATCTGACTGCTTAGAATTAATAATATACTCAAGGACTATAACTATATKTATACGTTAGACTCTAACGTTTAGAGTGTACATTATTATATTATATAATATGCACTGTAGTATAATATCTAATATACATATAGTTTGGGTCGATGCTTTTCAATAATATTGTAAACATAACTGCGGAGAAGTGTGGAGCTGTGTTATTTGCTTTCTACATAATGCGCTGCATTATTCAAATTCAGTTCTTCGAGATTAATTGAAAAAGAAACAAATAATTAATCAACCAACCCGTCGTAAAACGTAGGTAGATATCAAATGATTTATACATTAGTATAACAGACTGCAGCCGAGACCGACCGTATCGTGGAAGCCTTACTTAATATAATCTGTTAATCTGTATGTGTGTGTGTGTGTAGCTCACTGTGAAATACAAGGGATATGGGTAGACTATAAAATCTCATTTTGGTTTTCTTAAAACAAACGAGTAATAAAATTATTTTGGTCACGTCCTATACGACTACAACCACACGAAACCTTCGAAACTGCATGTATACTACCAARCCGTAACCACCGATCTCATACTGAAGGATACTTCTATGTTCTGTAGTAGTATTAGTAGTATAAGGTAATTGAAAAACATCAAATTATAGAAGTACGGCCATTAGCTAATTTGTGGCGTCGTATGTTCCGAGAGCGTCGCTCGTTTATTGCGCTCACCAAACCTCGGCGACCACCATATAATAATAATATTATTTTTTTTTTTTTGATATAATATAATGCACACAAAAGCATAATATTTTTACGAGCATCGTGTCCAAGTATTTTGA